TAAATGTTCCCATGTCTATCTTTCTGAGTGTGGTTTAGTATGGATTACACTCTTTTTGAGAAAGAAATCTGCAGCGTAATATTATCATTCATTCATTCCACAGTCATTGTGAAACACCACACTGGATCCTGGGATGCAAGAGGGAACCAATGACTCTGATTTCCACCTTCACAGATGTGTCACGTCAGTGGGGACCTGACACAAAACAACAACTTTAGCAAGTGGTTCAATTCAAATCTTGAAAACTATTACTAGGGGAAGAAAGAGGGATTTGAACCTGGTTGAAGTCGGGGAGGACTTCCATGAGGAGGTGACACTGACATGGAAGCTGGAGGGAGGGGTCCAGTCCCATGGTCTTGCTGCGCAGAGAGTGAGCGGCGCACCCTTCTCTCATGCAGATACCCACATTCAGAGAGATTATGGAACGCTATTAGTCAGGGCTCTTGATTGCATGCAAGAGACACAGGCTGACTGTTTCAGGCAGGAAAGGGATTTATGTCAAAGATAGGACAGGGTTGAAAAATCACCAGGAGTGCTGGAGAACAAGGTTTGGTAGATAAGCAGGGACAAGGGAGGTGGCAGGACGCACCAGGGCCCAGCAGCACCACACAAAGACCCTGTCCTGGGAGCTGGGCCCTCTGCTCGCCCTGTGGTCACTGGCTCCCAACTCCAAGTCAGTGCTCTGTTTCTGACAGGCCACAGTGGCTGTGTAGGCCCAGAGCAAGTGGGTCCCTGGATCTTTAATCCTGCAATGGAGACATATTCAGCCTCTCAACCTGCTGCAAAAGTAGGTGTTCAGATGCTGCAGGGCAGCCTCCATCCCCAAATGATACATTTCCACTCCACGTGAATGTGTAAATTTGCGGCTGGGCCGAGGCAGGAGCCGGGTGTCTGTGGCTTCGGGGCACAGGTTCTTTCTGGTGCCCCGCAGAGCACAGTGGCCGAACGAGCTTGTGCACAGTGGGAAACCCACCTAATTTTTCATTGTCAAATATACTCATTCATGTATTTGAATGCAGAATTAGTTCACCTAACACATTAAAAAGCCTTTTAAAATGTGGTAGTTATCCATTGATTATGTGGTGAGGAAATGGCCCTGATGCTGTGAGATCCAGCATTTCTGGAGGGCAGCTTGACAGTCTGTATCCAAAGCTTTGAAAATTAAGCCCTTGATTTAGCAGTTCTCTGCCTGGGGATATAGCCTGAGGAAAGGATTAGGGATGAAGACGCAGACGTACATTAAAAATATAGGACTCTGCAGCCTACTTGTGGAAAAGGTTGTGTCAGTTAGAATTCTTGCACTGGGACAAGGCTCAGTGGCTCATGCCTGTAATCCCAGCACTTTGGGAGGCCGAGGCGGGCAGATCACTTGAGGTCAGGAGTTTGAGACCAGCCTGGCCAACATGGTGAAACCCTGTCTCTACCAAAAACACAAAAATTAGCCGGGCATGGTGGCACGTGCCTGTAACCCCAGCTACTCAGGAGGCTGAGACAGGAGAATCACGTGTACCTGGGAGGCAGAGGTTGCAGTGAGCTAAGATTGTGCCACTGCACTCCAGCCTGGGTGACAGAGTGAAACTCCATCTCAATTAAAAGAAAAGAAAAATTCATGCATTTGGTGAAAAGCCTAACCTAATTCGTTTAAGCAAAAACACTCACCTCCCTGTGCCTCCTGGGGTAGGTGGGACTCCTACGAAGTTACCAGGCTCTGTTGTTAGGTTTACACTTCTCAGGGCCCCTTTCTATCTGTTGATTCTGATGTTAGGCAAGATTTCTTCTCATGGGGGAGAACAGTCCTAGGGTTCATGAAGAGTGAGAACCTCTATCCCAGCATCCTAAGAAACGGGCCCAGGGCCCCTTCTGATGGGACAGACCGAGTCACTTCACCCCCTGGACCAAGCCCCAGGCCAGAAGTGCTCTACGCTGGCTCAGGCCAGGCCTGGGGGACCCCCACCAGGGAGGGGTACAACTCTTAATGAAACTGGGCTGTTGGAGAAAGGGCCAATGAATTATACGGGTCAAATTAAACTGTAAAAAGACAGGGAGAAAACACACTTCGGTGTTTGCAATAGAAAGCTCTTACGTGAGGTTGATTGACCTTTATTTTCCACTTTATATTTTTTGTGTAATCAGAAAATTTTCCTTTAAAAATCTTGCACAGTCAGGGAAGGCGGTGGCATGGTGGACATGGTGGTTGCCCCTGTATCTTGCCTGTCTCCACTGGGCCGAAGGGCAGAGACTGGTTCAGGCCACCTGTGTCCCTCTCTCCTAGGCCTGAGCCAGTTCCCGCATGGCGCTCCCTTGTCCACAGGGCGTGACCAGGCAGCATCAAGATCAGGAGTTGAGTTTGGTGGCTAAGCGAGGGGCTCCCCTGTGGCCCTGTGTGCTGGTGGCCCTCTTGCGACTGGGAAGGAAGCCAGTCTGAGGAAACAGCCAGCACTGGGACCGGTGTAGTGGGGAAGATAGAAATCTGATTTAATGATGCTGAACCCATGCTTCCCACAGACCTTTCCAGTATGAGAGACAAGAGATCTTTTATTACTTGAGCCAGCTTGAATTGCACTTCCTGTTAATTGAAACTGATGTAAATACCCATTGAGTTTGGGTCTACAATCACCGCTAATGAATTTGAGAATAAGATTGGCCTGAGATGTGAAGAGAGAGAAAGGAGTCTTCTGCTGGCCTGCTGACTTGTCTGAGGATGTGAAGCGGGAGGAAGGGCTGACCTCTCCAGGAGGGCCTTCCTCTCTCAACCAGGGGCCCTTGGGAAGAGGCAGCCCCACCCGAGACAGAAGGGAGCCATGACTGCCGTCAAACACGACACTGGCTAGTTCTGGGACCTGCAGCAAGGATCTCACCCTCTCCTTGCCTGAGTGTCCTAATTTCTAAAATGAAGAGATTGAAAAAAGAATTTGAGCTGGATATAATGTGAAATATAACAAAGTTATCTTTGGTAAAAACCAAAGCAAAATAGCCCGGTAGGGTTTGAAAGCAAGCCTCGGTGGGCCTGCCTCTGTGCCGTGGACAGGCCTAGCTGGGCTTTCTCTGACTTCATTTCCAAAGGCCAACCCCGCCTTGTGGCAGGGTCACGTTTGGTCCTGAAAGACTGAGTTAGGAAGAACATTGAAGGCTTGTCTCGCAAAGTACTCTCTAAGAAGAGAGCTACCCCCGAAGTAGCAGCTGCAGAGAAGAGTGACCGTGCACATGTGGGCAGTGCTGAGATGGGCCAGCCCCTGATGGCCTAAGGCTCTGTGGACCTTCCCACCAGCTGCAGCCCCCAAACATACTTTTATACTTGCTGGCTCGCTTTGCTGTCGCCTGGATCAGACTAGACCCATGGAGGGCGTGTTCACCACTGTAACCCCAGACCTTGCAGGGTGCCTGGGCCAGAAAGTCTGCTAAATGACAGGCAGAACTGAGTTGAGCTGTGCCAACCCCATCCTGGGGCTCCTTCCCCTGCCGTGAGGGGGGACAGGCAGGTGGGTGCCCAGGTAGGACACAGACTTGTCACTGCAGCCTGGGTGCTATGACGCCCTCATTGATGGGGCCCCTCTGAGCCAAACCCTCCCTGAATCCAGAGAGTGCTCCTGGGTGGACTGGGTTTAAATTTCAACCTGACCATAAAACCACACATTAGGAAAGGTATCCAATCAATTAGTTCTAATTAATCACAAACAAAATGTGTCTCTAGCTGTGGGATGTGGTTTCTTTCCCATTGGCTATAATTAGAAAAGTTTGGTGACTGTACAGAAATAAAATGTCTGTGGGAAAGGGAGGGGGGAAGACAGAAGAAACACAAGTGGTTAGAAGTCATGTTAAATGGTAACTAGAAAGCTGTAACCACTTCCCCTAGACGTGGGGAAGCTTCCTTGAAGCTGAGTGCAACTGTGCTGGGCAAGCAGAGACGCTTCTGTCCCCGCCCGCATGTCCTGACCCATTAATTTCTTTCTTTCTTTTCCTTTTTTTTTTTTTTTTGAGATGGAGTCTCGCTTCGTTGCCCAGGCTGGAGTGCAGTGATGCGATCTCGGCTCACTGCAACCTCCACCTCCTGGGTTCAAGCGATTCTCCTGTCTCAGTCTCCCGAGTAGCTGAGATTACAGGTGCGCACCACCATGCCCCGCTAATTTTTTTGTATTTTCACTAGAGACGGGGTTTCACAATGTTGGCCAGGCTGGTCTTGAACTTCTGACCTTCAGTGATCCACCCGCCTCGGCCTCCCAAAGTGCTGTTATTATGGGCATGAGCCATCACACCCAGCTTCCCATCCATTCGTTTCTACCGGGATTTCTCTGTGGGCCTCACAGGCAAAGCTAGCCAGCAACAATCCTCCCCATCCAGGGTGGGACTGAGTGGTTATAACAGGACCTTGTGCCCGGACAGCTCTGGCCACAGGGCTGCTGCCCTGTGGAGTACAGAGCTCAAGTGCTGGATTAGAGCCCTGCCCAGGACAGGGAGGCTGATCCCAGCCAGGGGAGGCTTGGGAGGGTCTCCGAGGGTGTCATGCATCAAGGCAATTGGTTGGCGCCTCCATGGCCTCCTTGACGGTGTGTTGTAGAAAAGTAACGTCTTCACTGCTAGGCTTTGCCACAGATAAATTAAACCTGACCCACCCCCATCTAGCGTCTGTGAGGCTTAGGGCACTGTGCTGGGATAAGTGTCCAGCATGGGGCACCAGAGGCCACTGGGGAAGATGCCAGTCAAGGCTAGCAGATGTGAAGCGTGTGGGTGGTATGAAGTGGGCCAGGGCAGGGGAAACTGAGTCGGAGCTGATATTCCCTACTTTCCAGCCATGTGAGCTCGACCCTCCACACTCACACTGCACATCTGTTCAGGGAAGCTGTGGGTCCTGATGTTGCAGGGAGGGTGGATGCTGTCAGGGCACGGCTCTCCAGCGGCTCCACGAGCAGGTGGTGATAGCATGACTGTGATTCTACAGCATGTGTGCCAAGGGATCTCCCTTTATACCCTCAGCAGGGAATTGGATCTCAGCCTGGACAGTTTCTTGATGTTTCTTCTTCATGAAAAGAGTGTCGGGAGCCATGCTGCCTGGGCCACCGTGTTGCTGGGTGCAGCAGGCGGCTGCCTTGCTCTGTGGGGTGGGATGGTGCAGCCTGCTCAGCAAGGGAGCCAGTGAAAGCTCCATGAGTGGAGGGACGCTTGAGCAGTTGCGCAGCAGACTGAAGGCTCTGCACAAGGACCTCAAGGGCCAGCTCAGCCTTAGCAATAAAAACAGCAAAACCCTGACTGGTGAACAATATTGAGCCAACCATGGATACCCAGAAGAAATCTCGGTGAGTTGTGGATATGATTCCTTTTATACGGTGTTGGATTTGTTTTGCTAATATTTTCTCAGATATATTTGTGCTTATGCTCAAATAAATCAGATACGTTGGTTTGCAGTTATCTTTTTTTTTTTTTTGAGGTGGAGTTTCGCTCTTGTCACCCAGGCTAGAGTGCAGTGGCGCGATCTCAGCTCACTGCAACCCTCTGCCTTCTGGGTTCAAGCAATTCTCCTGCCTCAGCCTTCTGAGTAGCTGGGATTACAGGCGTGTACCATCACACCTGGCTAATTTTTGTATTTTTAGTAGAGACTAGGTTTCACCTTGTCGGTCAGGCTGGTCTCGAACTCTTGATCTCAGGTTATTCACCTACCTCAGCCTCCCCAAGTGCTGGGATTACAGGCGTGAGCCACTATGCCCGGCCCTGCAGTTATCTTTTTTTGTAATGTCACATCTCATTTTGTTATTAGGGCAATGCCGGCCTCATAGATGACTTGGAAAGTGCTCCCTCTGCTTCTGTTATCTGGAAGAGATTGTGATTAATGATAATCAAAAATTTTTTTACATAAATGTTGGTAGAATTTACCGGTAAGGGCACGTGGCCTTGGTACTATTTTAGGAGGTTATTAATAATTGACTCAAATTACTTACTAGATATGGGGTTATTCAGGTCATGACATTCTCCTTGGGCGAGTTGGTCTTTGAAGGAGTTGGTATACAGTTTGCCTTTTTCTCCTCTGCACCCTACACATTTCACTGGCTGCGATATTTCCAATCGACATCCCAGAAGCTATGGCTCTCATGGACCAATGTTTTCTCCCTTTCCGGTGATCCAGGAAGCCTAGGGGAGATTGACGGGGAGGAATTCCCTTCCCCGACATAGATAAGGTCGTGGCAAAGTCCTTTCTCCTGAAGAGCAGACCTTTATTATGGGGGAGGCCCTGGGCAGATGTCACAATAATTGCTCTTCCCATCCCCCTGTCAGGGCCAGGAGGGGAATCCTTCTAGAATCTTCACCATGAGAACATTGGCCTTTATATCTGTATAAAGGCCACACATTTTAGGGACTCTTAACTCGGTGGCCCCAATAGTTTCTCCTCTTATGCTAGTCCACACTCAGCCTCCAGCAATTTGTCAAAACTACCATTGAAGTGTTCCTCCCTGTTAATGACCTCGCAGCTTCTGTTCCAGATAGGCAGGTCTCAGCTCTGACTCTGGAGGCACCTGTCTCTTTGGATTTTGAGGTATCTAATTTGTTTTGCAACCTCATTTTTATGGTGGATCCTAGGAAAGTTGCTGATTTTCAGTTTTCCAGTTTTCTGTTGCTATAAGGACAAGAGTGATGACTGCCAAGCTCTTCACATGGTGGAACTGAAACCAGAAGTCCCTAGTCCTTTTGCTTTGAAATGAACCTCTGGGGTCTTGCAGAAGGGCTTGGTGGGCCCATGTTGGAGGCTGCCCTGGGAATCCAGGGGACCGGAACTCTGAGCCTGCAGACCCGCTCTGCTCACCTCAATGTGCCAGGCCATGAGCTGCCTTTGAACACCTAACTCTCAGGCTTTAATTTCTGATGCATTTATCACATGACTGGAGATATCTGGGCCCTCTCGTCCTCAAAATTAATGTGTAAATCAGCTCAGGAATTACAAAAGAGATTCAGAGTATGGCGGACACACCTGACAGCAGTAACGGAAACATACTCCAAGAACGATTCTGTGGTCTAAGAAGAATATGTATTCAGAGTTCCCAGCCAAGGAATCAAGAGTGGCCAACCCAAGGATTCACTCCTTTTCCACGAAGCATATCTGCACCCCTGGCCCTTTCCTTGAAACACAGAACATGCAAGAAATAGAGGCCCTTTGCTTTGGGTTAAATGGAGGTTGCTAGGTGGAGGGTGCCGAGTGGAAATGCTACATAAACTGCATGCTTCTTACAATTGCTAGTGGTTGTCCTGCCCAGCCCACCACCACTGGATTGCCCCTGTATGTAAGTCCTCAATAAAACTTATGTCTCCTTCACTGGGAGAGAAGTGAGGAGGTCAGAGGGGTCAGCCCAGCCCTGGGCACCTGGGCCCGTTAGCCTCGCCAGTGACTTAGAGGCTTTCTTCTAAAGTGAAACCAAGGCTTCTGAAGAGGCAGAGTGAAGGAGGGGTGTGCTCAGAAGGGGCACGGCAGTGTGGGGAGTGCAAGGTACGAGCCTGGGAGGCCAGCTAGGCTCCAGATGTGGTCCAGGCTGGTGGTGAGGTGAAGATTACTTATCTGCACCTGGAGCTGGGGGCGAGAGAGGGCTGGATGCATGGAGCACTCCCCTCCTACTTCCGGTGGCTCACCGCTGCCAGAGAGCCTCTGCCTGGCTTTCCGCCCCCTCAGTGCAGCCACACTGCGTGCTGTCACGGGCTTTGGGTAGAGTCACAGCACTAACCACCCCTTGACACTGTATTCCCTCAGTCATCTCACATCACAGCATGTTTTCAGCAGCTCTGATTTGCTCAGGGGACCCCATGTGCCAGGTTATGACCAGGGAAGAGCCCTGGACGTCACAGAGTGAATGGAACCCCACCCCGTTCCCCACCTGTCCATGGGCCGGCCAGGCAGTGCGCGTGCCTATGGCCTCTCCCTTGCTCTGACTCCTCCTCGCCCATCCCCTTCTTGCTCCTTCGTGGCTGGGGCACGGGAGAGGGATCAGAAGGTGACAGGGGCTTCTTGCTGGGCTGGCTGTCTGGGCAATTTCTGTCTTGTCAAAGCTCTTGGTCACGGAAAGTGTCCCAGCTCCTCTATGGGACTCAGGGATGGAAACTCCTGGGACGCTCTTCTGCATGACCCCGGGCCCTAGAATAGAACCCCCACCTCAGGGTCTTCTCACCTGAGGATGCAGCCCTCTTGGGAAGTGGGGCGTTGACGTGATGGAGCCCAGACCATTCAGGGCTCCACAAACCTTATCATGAACCACCCTGCCAGGAAAACACCCGAATTCTTGCCCCACCAGACTCCAGCAGTGCCAGCTCCTCCCTCATTCTGCTACATTGTTCCTGCCTTGCCCTCCCCCACATCCAGGGGACAGTTGTCCTACCCTCTCAAGGACTGTTGGGGGCTCTTCTCCTAAGACAGCACGGGGTCCAGAAGTCTCAAAACAGCCCTAACCCAACCGAGATGCAGTGGCCCTGAGAGCAGACAATCCAAACTCTTCACTACGATTCTCTGGGGGCCTCTCATTTGGCCAGGCTTGAGGTTCTGAGGAGGCCACAAAACTCTTTCTGTAATCGCTAAAGAAATTATTGCTTGTAAGGAACCGCTAGGCTTGTCTCACGTGGGTTGAAGGTGGGATGCAACTGTCTAAAGCTGTGCAAGATGGAAATACTTGGCACCCGTTGGCCTCGGTATGAAATGCTTGCCAACATTCTGAGAAAGAGTGATGCAGGCCATTGCAAATCAATTTAATTTTTAAATTTCCCACTAGAATTATTAGTCTAGTAAGGGCAGGGGATTGACTTGTTCACCTCTATGTTTCTTGTGACTAAAACAGTGTCCAGCACACCAAAGGTAGTTGTATTTTTAAAGGACTAAATGCATATGTCTCAACTTGGTAACTCTGAATAGAGGGAGAGCAAAAATGATTGGCATGCCGCTCACACTGATTTCTGGCTCCTGCTGCTCACCACATTGTTTGGTAAACATCCATTTAGGAAGTGGCTTAGCTCTGGGGCATAGATGAGCAGCGGGCTGATGTCAGGCATGTAGTTAAAGGGCCAATTTAGTTCTAGGTGTGAGTGAGTGGAGGACTCAGGCTTTGAGCGACAGTGAAGGGGAGATGTGAATCTAAGATAAGTTGGGGATTCAGACTCAGGTCTGGGTGTGGGTGAGCGGCAGACTCAATTCCTGTGTGTCAGGAAAGAGCAGGCTCAGACTTGCTTGGCTGTTGCACATAGCTAAGCAGTGCACCGTCGTATGAACTGAGAAGGGCGCCTCACTCAGATCTGCAATTCCTGTGTGTCGGGAAAGAGCAGACTCAGACTTGCTTAGCTGTTGCACGTAGCTAAGCAGTGCACTGTCGTATGAACTGAGAGGGGAGCCTCACTCAGGTCTGCAATTCCAGTGGGAAGCTGCAGATCTCCCTCCAATCTGGGGCTCAGCAGAGGCTACTTTTAACCTAGTGGGCAGTGTTTTAATTGCTTTTGTTTGTGTTATGCAGGTACAACCTTATTGGGCTAATGGATCTGCACTGGTCCTTACGTCCCACAATTAATTAACCAGAAGCAGAGCCTCGTGATGTCCCCACAAATCCAGTTGCTCACTGTGGTCTTTGTGCCTTCCCTGCTTCTGACAGAGCAGTGCCAGGGCTTGGCTTTTGCCATTTGCCTCTTGGTACCTCCATTTAAATTGGGGACCTCATTCTCCCTACAGCTCCCCCCACCTGCACCCTGTCCTCCAGAAAACAGCTTCTACTGTGCTTCTGACAGATTCCAATATTCTTCCTCCCATTTGCCTTGGTGTTAGGAACATCTTCTGGCCTCTTTACAAAGATGGAGTTAGGATATAATTGAGAGGTCAATGTCAAGACTGGTGAGGTCTGAGTCCGAGATTTCATTCGACTCAAATATTGCTAACAAGTTAGTGTCATGAATGCTGTCAGAGAAAAACCACCTCCTGGACTGAAGATGAAAGATTATATTTCTCATAGGAAGAGTAGCAGCCGGAGCATCCGCATAGTTTTTTGGATTCCTTGTCTCCAAGTCCCACGGAGGCGGTGCAATGGGCCCACATGTATGTCATGCAGGCAGTGGGTTTGTCCTGCAGCCGAGGAACCCAGGCCAAGAGCCATCACTTTTGTTTTGCTTTTTTGAGACCGGGTCTTGCTCTGCCATCCAGGCTAGAGTGCAGTGGCGTGATCTCGGCTCACTACAACCTCTGCATTCCAGGTTCAAGCAATTATCTTGTCTCAGCTTCCCGAGTAGCTGGGACTACAGCTACTACAGCCTGCCACCATGCGTGGTGGAATGTTTGTATTTTTAGTAG